CTTGCTAATTTCCCTTGTGGTGACTCAGTCTAAATTTAATCAAGCTTCTCTTAATTATTTCAGCCTTGTCCCAGGATGTTCTGAGGAATTCAGTGAAGAGCCCCAAGGGACGGTGCCTGGCGGGGCAGGTGGAGAGAGACCTGCGGGCAGAGGGGACTTGTTGCAGGAGGACCCCAACCCCTCAGGAGCTCCCCTGCACGTGCCAGGCCTGGAGGATCTGGTCCCGTTTTTACTAAAGGACTCCTGGAGGAGCCCTTCAGAAACAACCACCTGCTCTCCCTTGTCAGCCTCTAGGGGACACATAGGGACGGAGCGGCTGTCGTTGGATAGGGAGGTGGCCTCTGGGGACAAAGCCAAATGGCCCAGGCAAGGACTGATATGTTTTTTAAAAAATCAGTGCAGCATCCAGAAACAATGTGAAAGCTATGTACATATTTACTGTTGCCGCCTGAGAAAACACTAAATGAGGAATTGCTTTCATAATGTGCAGCAAAATTTCTTAAAATCCTTTGTTTCCCAAATTTTCTATTAATTCCGTCCCTCCCCCCAGAGAGAGACTGCCCCTCCCCCATGCCGGTGTCCTGGTCCCCCCCCCCCCCCCACCTCCTCCTGGCCTACCTCCCCCAGCGGCGTCCCTGTACATCCACCCAGAGAGGCCAGCCAGCCCTTCACCACCATCAAATAAAAAAGGCTCCGGGGCTGATCCCCTTCCTAGGAGGAAAAGAAACTGTGATTATTGCTAATCACAAATTGTCTCTGAGGAAAAGTATTCTGAGAGGCGCAGGCACAGGGAACCCCTTGTGAGGCGAGGATGGGGAGGTGGTGACAAAGGCACACAGCCTCTATAGTGCCCCATGGCAGGGGGCTCTGTCCCAAGAGTTGGGGTGGCGGGTGGGTGTCCGCCGGGCTGCCGGCTCATGGGCATGTGGCTCTCTGTCCACACCTGCAGGCTGTGGGGGTCTCAGCCTTGGCTCCACATTGGAGGCACTTAGGGAGATTAAGAAAACACTGGTCCCCGGGGCCCTGTACCAGGAGGTCTGGAGTGAGGCCCAAGGCTTCTAGGAGTGCTGGCTGTTTTAAAAGCTCCCAGGAGATTCGAACCCACAGCTAGGGCCCTGCTCCACCATGCTGATCACTTGCTTGGGAGAGCAGCCCAGAGCCTGTTCTGGGGTCCCGGGCATGCAACTCCCTGCCCCCCCTTCTTGATCCACCAGGAGGAAGAAGAAGAGTGAGGCCAAGACTGGCTGGCACAGAGTAACTTAAGACAGCAGCTAGAGCTTCATGCGTTCACCATCCAACAACTATTTAATGTATTCGATAACCATTTAATGTAAGTGCTGTTAAGGTGATGATCGAAGCTGACTGAGGTGCCAAGTTTAGGTTGGGCAGTCAGGCCTCTCTGAGGAGGTGACATTTAAATTGAGACCCGAGTGACGAGGAGGCTGCCATGTGAGCTGCCCTGACAAGCAGAGAGGGCAGCAGGTGCAAAGGCCCTGCACGGGAGCCCGGGGCACGAGGCTGGAGCCGAGCTGGGGCGCACCTCGGGCAGTCTTGGAGCTGTGGGAAGGAAGTGGCTTTCATTGTCGGGGCAACGGGAAGCCCCAGGAAGGTGTTCAGGAGGGAATGCCATGACCTGGTTTTGTGCTTTTAAGAGACACTCTGGCTGCAGTGTGCATGTGGCGGGTGGCGCGGGTGGGGGGATGGGGAGCAGGCCAGACACAGGGGAACAGTCCACTCCATCGGGCTAGTGGGCAGCCCTGTGCTCACACCCGGGGAAGGATAGCACTCAGCTCTTCCCTGTACGGGAGAATGTAGGTCAGGCAGCCCTGCTCCCTCAGCCAAGCCGCCAAGGCAGCCCCCTCGCCTGTCAGGGGGAGAAAAGCTGAGTCTGAGATGTGTGGGCTCAGCTGAGAGATCAGCGTTGGCAGGGCAGGCAGAGATAATAGTCGCCCAGGTGCAAGGATCTGGGCCACCACCTGGGGTCCCTTCATCCCCCTTCCCGGGATGCCTCGGCCCCCCACAATCTCCACAGCGGGCTAGGCCAGCCCAGAGGCAGGCCTCAACATGCGCCTGGAGCAGGTGGCTGTATTTTAAGAGCAGGGCTCAGACCTCTAAATAAACCATAAACAAAGCCAGCTTCCCCAGTACAGAAGGAGGCGGATGGCTCCATTTCTCTTCAGCACAGTGACTGGGAAATAAACAAGTGGCTCTGCCTGTCACATACACTTAACCCTCTGCAAAGGCATCTGTCAGACCCACAGAGCTTCTGCCTCAGCCTTTCCAAGAAATAACTGATGTGCCCCAAACTCAGGCTTCTCCTTGCGGGCTCCAAGTTCACTTTGCCATTCAAGGGAAGGCAGGCATGGGGGCTTGTCCCTGACTCCAGCCTCACAGGAAAAGCTCTCAAAGGGCAGGTGCAGACTAGACCGGGGCCCCAGTGTAGCCTGGGGCATGCTGGCACAGCTCTCCCAGCTGGGGAGGAGACAACAGGGAGGGAGAGAGGAAGGAAGGGAGGCTGGAAGGAAAGGCAGGAGGCGGTGGGGGTTGGAAGGAGCGGGGCAGAGCTGAGAGGGACACAGAGTGGCCCGTATTACAGAGATAGGAGGGGGAGAGCCTGGGGAGACCACTAGTGGTCTGCTGGTCGGGTGGCTGTGAGTGTGGGAGAAACAAAGAGAAACAGAAGGCACAGGGACTCTCTCTCCATGGGCAAAATCTCCTACTACCGAAAAGGATGAAGGAATGAGCAAGAACAAAAACAGACTGGAACAGAAGGAGGCAGGCAGATAAATAAAGCAGGGGAGAGAGGAAAACCCCAGAGTAATCGAACCCAAGCATGTCTAGGAGGAGGGACCCTCCAAATACAGCAGGAGAAGGTGATTTATGCATTGAAATAAACCAAAAGAGTGAGGAGCTGAGGCCAATGGAATGGGAGTGGCTGGGAACAGTGGCATGCAGCAGAAGCCACACAGGCATGTGGCAGTGAAGCAGAAGGGGGCCGTGAGATTTGGAGGAGTCAGAAGGCAGCCTATAGTGAGAGGAGAGGGTGAGGGCTGCAGGAAGCCACAGGGCTCACAAAGCCTGTCTAGGCTGTCCGCCAGGGCTGCCGCCCAGGGCACCTGCAGCAGTGAGACTTCACAGCCACCATCATCCCCAATGTGTGTGTGGGGTGGAGTGGGATTAAAAAAGGGTGGAAGGGGCTGCAACACAGTGATTACACATGCATGTAAACACATGCTGGCACCCTGCCGGAGGAGACCCAGGAGCCTCCAGACTGTACCCCAGGCAGGTGTGCAGTGTGCTCGTGTGAAGCCCCAGACTTCAGATGATAGATCCAGCAGACGTACACAGAGGATGGGGTAAGTATACCCCCAACACAGCCCCTGAAAGAAAAGGAGATAGAGACGAAGACACACACACAGACACACACACACACCCCTCCAGCATCAGACACGAGACAGGAAGCTTACATGGCTCTCACTGCCCTATTCTCCCTCCCACATGGCTGCCTCCCTGCAGCCCCCACACTTGCAGACGCCTGCAGGGCACGGGTGTGGAGCCCTCTCGGCGGCAGTACAACTGCACACGCACCCACACGTGTATCCAGATGCAAGTGGCTGGCACAGGGATGCAGGCTTGGATGCAGGAGCCCCCACCTGAAGCCAGATCAAGGGCCATCCCCAGGCCCTCCAAGGAGGCCCAAAGCACTCTGGAGTGACACAGGGCATATCTCCAGCTGGGATGGCATTGCCAGGGCACGTCAAGGATGTGCTTCCCACTGTGGCTGTAGTGGTTGCCCTGTGAGTCCAGAGCCATGCCGGAAGGGCTTTCCCAGGACTTCTGACCAAGACATGTAGACGCTAGCCCCCTGCTAAGCTCACACACCTCATAGTGCTCCAGTCTTTGCAAATGGACACCATGCAGAAGGCCTGAGGGACCAAAGGGAGGGAGCTCCCCAGGGACTGTGGGTCCATTTCTCAGCTCAGCCCAGTAGGCAGGGCCTTAAGGACAATCTTAGGAGATCAAGAGCTCAGATCTCAGATCTTGGGAATGAGGACACAGATCCTGAGCACACCTACACTGATCTCACACCCCCAGTCCCCACTGTCCGCGCACACACATCTCTCAATAGATTACCCACACCTGTCACAGTCCCACTGAATACTACAATGTCCACAGCACACTGTGCGCAGGGCACTCGGTTCCCTATTATATACACACACAGCACTGACACATGTCCCAGGTTCCTCCTGTACTGACACACTGCACACATCTCCCCACCCGTCAGGGGACCCATTTTTGTCAAGGCTGTACACACACAGACACTGAAAACTCCTAGTGTCCTCAGCCTACAAACACACACACACACATCCGTACACTCCCCCGCGGCCCACACACCACCCAGCCTGCGCACACACGGTGCCCACACCGAGCTCCCAAAGGTCACTCCGTGACTCCCTCCCACGCGGGGAGCCCTGCGCTCTCGCCCCCCCGCAAGCTAAGCCAAGCTCCCCCACGGGGTTCCCTGATCCCTCTGCTCCCCTCCAGCTCTCGTCCCCAACAACCCCACCCTTGGCTTCAGGAAACTTTTGCTCAGGTCCCTAAAAAGGGAAACCCGGAGTTCCTCTGGTCCAGCCTTGCCCCCGGCCACGCGCAAGTCGCCCCTTATTCTCCAGCCCTGCCCCCATCAGACCCCGCGGAGAAAGGTCACCATAGGCAGCCCCCTGCCTGAGCCCTGGGGGTGGGGACAAAAACAGCTGTCACCGGGGGATGGAAGGGTAGGGAAAGGTGTCAGCCCCGCACGGGAGCCCGGGGCGCAAGGGGATCGCGGTGACGCGCCAGAGAAGCGCTGAGAAGCCGCGGCGGCTACTGCATCTTCGGAGTCTGGGGCGGCGGCCGCGCCCGGACTGGGCGCGCGGAGCTGTCCGTTCAGCACCACCGCGCCGCGCCCAGCGCGGGGCCCGCGCCCAGGCACCTCGGCTCGGCCCCCGCCCTGGCTCCGCGGTCGCCTGCGGCGCGGGCTCCTGCCTGTCTCGGCGGGTGAGGGGCGCAGGGATCCGCAGAGGGGGGCTCCGCGAGCGGCGGGACCACGCGGCCACCTGTGAGCCTGCCGCAACTGCGGGCGGCGGCGGCGTGCCCGGCCGGAGACTGGAGGAGACGCTCGGCGGACCCCGCCCGCCGGCCCGCCGGGCGCACACACAGGCGCACACACTCGCACCCGCGCGCACACGCACAGCCAGCAGCGGCCACCGCCGCGATGCTCGCCAGCAGGTCGGGGAAGTTTCCCGCCGGCCTCGGCCGCGGGCGCCGGAGCTCCCAGGTAAGCGCTTCCAGAACGCGCGGGGCGAGCCCGGGCAGCTCCGCCGGCTAAGGCGCAGCGCACGCGGCCCCAGGGCACCGCGCCAGGCGGCGGGGAGACCGGGCGGGGGGCGAGGGCTCCAGTCGTGGGAGCCGGGCGCAGGGAAGGCCGGGCCACCCCGTCCCCCCGGCCCGGATGTACAGACTCGAGAGAATTTCCCCGCCCGCCCCCCTCCCAGAGCTACGCGCCCCCCCAAGTCGGCCCAGCCCTGCCCGTGCGTATCTCAGCTCCGGTCCCGCCTGTCTGCGGCGAGCGGGCGGGGGCGTCTCCTCCGCCTGCCCACGGGCAAGGTCGCATACGGCCCCCTGGGCTCTCAGAGCCGCGGGCGCGACCCCTGCACGCGAAAAGCGATCGCCAGGACCCCCGGGGTGGGGGCGGAGGCACAGCCATGCTAGTAGAAACATGCCCACCCCAGCCTGCCCTTGGGAGAGTCCAAACCCCACAGAACGGCTCTCCCACCCCAGTGCCCTTCAGCACCCAGAGACCCACCTAGAGAGGACTGGGCCCGCAGGGGCGGGTGGGGAGACAGGGGCGCTGGGGCCGGGAGCCCCGGCGCTCTGGCGGACGCGGTTTCTCCGCTTCCAGGTGTAGCGCCCCCGCGCGGCGCGGGCGGCTGGGCGTCTCCAGCATGACCGGCCAGAGCCTGTGGGACGTGTCGGAGGCCAACGTCGAGGATGGAGAGATCCGCATCAATGTAGGCGGCTTCAAGAGGAGGCTGCGCTCTCACACGCTGCTGCGCTTCCCCGAGACGCGCCTGGGCCGCCTGCTGCTCTGCCACTCGCGCGAGGCCATCCTGGAGCTCTGCGACGACTACGACGACGTCCAGCGTGAGTTCTACTTCGACCGCAACCCGGAGCTCTTCCCCTACGTGTTGCATTTCTATCACACCGGCAAGCTTCACGTCATGGCCGAGCTGTGCGTCTTCTCCTTCAGCCAGGAGATCGAGTACTGGGGCATCAACGAGTTCTTCATCGACTCCTGCTGCAGTTACAGCTACCACGGCCGCAAAGTGGAGCCCGAGCAGGAGAAGTGGGACGAGCAGAGCGACCAGGAGAGCACCACGTCCTCCTTCGATGAGATCCTCGCTTTCTACAACGATGCCTCCAAGTTTGATGGGCAGCCTCTGGGCAACTTCCGCAGGCAGCTGTGGCTGGCGCTGGACAACCCCGGCTACTCAGTCCTGAGCAGGGTCTTCAGCATCCTGTCCATCCTGGTGGTTCTGGGGTCCATCATCACCATGTGCCTCAATAGCCTGCCGGACTTCCAAATCCCCGACAGCCAGGGCAACCCTGGTGAAGACCCCAGGTTCGAGATTGTGGAGCACTTTGGCATCGCCTGGTTCACATTTGAGCTGGTGGCCAGGTTTGCTGTGGCCCCTGACTTCCTCAAGTTCTTCAAGAATGCCCTAAACCTTATTGACCTCATGTCCATTGTCCCCTTTTACATCACTCTGGTGGTGAACCTGGTGGTGGAGAGCACGCCTACCTTGGCCAACTTGGGCAGGGTGGCCCAGGTCCTGAGGCTGATGCGGATCTTCCGCATCTTAAAGCTGGCCAGACACTCCACCGGCCTCCGCTCCCTGGGGGCCACCTTGAAATACAGCTACAAAGAAGTAGGGCTGCTCCTGCTCTACCTCTCTGTGGGGATCTCCATCTTCTCCGTGGTCGCCTACACCATTGAAAAGGAGGAGAATGAGGGCCTGGCCACCATCCCTGCCTGCTGGTGGTGGGCCACTGTCAGCATGACCACAGTGGGGTACGGGGATGTGGTCCCAGGGACCACAGCAGGGAAGCTGACTGCCTCTGCCTGCATCTTGGCAGGTATCCTTGTGGTGGTACTGCCCATCACCTTGATCTTCAACAAGTTCTCCCACTTCTACCGGCGCCAAAAGCAACTTGAAAGTGCCATGCGCAGCTGTGACTTTGGAGATGGAATGAAGGAGGTCCCTTCTGTCAATTTAAGGGACTACTATGCCCATAAAGTTAAATCCCTGATGGCAAGCCTGACGAACATGAGCAGGAGCTCACCAAGTGAACTAAGTTTAAATGATTCCCTACATTAGCTGGGAGGATTTGTCACCCTCCGTCCCACATTGCTGAGCTGCCTCTTGTGCCTCTGGCACAGTCCAGGCACCTTAGGGTTATGGTGTAAGGAGTATGCCCAGCCCCAGAGGGGAGAGATGCATGGGATATGCACCCCAGGTTTCTTTTACAGTATTTAGAATCATTTTTAGAGGGTGGTGTGTCTGACACCATGCCTTTGCACCTTTCAACGAAATGACACTCACTGGTCTTTGCATCGTGGGCATAAAATGTTCACCTTTCTGCCAGATGAGTACACCCAGAATGCTAATTTTTCTGTTCTTTGTGTACACTATTCTAGTGCTTGTGGCCTGGTACTGTCTGTGAGTTGTTGTGCTCCTGTTTCTGAGGTTGTCCTGTGAGTTCTGTACAAAAAGTCCCCATGAGTCTGTCCAGTGGAAATGCATCTATGAGGTTGGCAAGGATATCACGAGATTTTGCTCACAGTCATGTGAAAACAAAATCTCAGTTCTTTATCCATTGCTTTCATTTAGTTTTAATACCAAAACAAAGAGAATGCAAGTTAAGCACACTTGACCAATGCAAGTCTGTGAATTGTTTTTTATAAATGATCTGTAGCTCTGTGGCTTGCATGGGTGCCCCAATCATCTTTTGGTGATGTACACTGATGTTCATCTGGTAAATGTCACTCTTTAGAGAACGTTACTTAGTTAAACATGTAGTGAAGACTGAATTTTTTTTTTCTTTCTAAGAACGGATGTGTCAGAGACAGGGGCTTCAGCTAAACAGTTCAAACACCAGGGTGCTTAAAGCCAATTCAGTGGAAGCTGAAGCTTCTCCTCCATGGCCAAGCCCCGTCTGTCCTACAGTGATCGTAGAGACGTGCATTCTTTCTGGGTGAAGTTCCTGGTCTAGGACATGTGACCAAACTTTGCTTGTCTTAGACAGTAGCATGTTTTTAAAATATTTATTTTTTAAGATGTTTAGGAATAAGGTCGTGTTTTGTCTTTCTCAACTAAAAAAAGGTTTACCGTCGTGTTGTCTCCCCGAGGTGAACATTGTTATGTTGCTAGCAAGAGCAGTAGCTTAAATACTTTTGTTGCCTGCTCTGAAAGCTCATAAAATGAGAGCCCTTTTATTTCCAAGCAGGATTTACTCAAATAGTTTTGCTCCTAGGATACGGTATATTGTAGATGATGCCATGACTGCCCTGGAGTTCCTGCCATGACATGGAAACCTGGTGGTGGTACGGAAGTAAATACTCAGAATGTAGACGTGCGTGAAGGTGGTGTGGCTTGCTGAGGATGGAAACACTGCAGTTCTTGTTTCCATTTCACCTGCCTTTTGTTGTGGGAGAGTAGGTAGAGACCAAGAGAAAGGAAAGAGCCGTCAAACAAAAAATTGCTACTTCATACAATGTCATAAATACTTGTAAACTTCTTGAAAAGCTTAATGGTATTCAAAAGGCTTCTAAACTTGTGTTGAATGGAGACAATTGTTTCCTTTTCCAAAATGCACCCCCTCTTCTTCGGTTAATCAGCATGTGACGTTGTGAACAAGGGGAACCTGGGCCCTGTGTAAAAATAATCCTTTTCCACCATCTTCGTGGTAATCTGATGGTTTTCCTGTGGCTGTCATTAAGTTTGGTCTTTGAAAGGGCTGTAGAATCCAGAGGATTGATCGTGGAGTTAGCCAAGCTTTTTATCCAAGGCTTGGGTCTCCCTTTCAGAAGTTCCATTCTGTATTTTAGTTGACCAAGAAAAACACATACCTCACAGAGGTGTGGAGAGGATATTCTAAGAGGTTTGTGTACTGGTGGTTGCCATGGCTACTATAGCACGGGCGATTTGTTGGATTAGTGCACTCATCACTTACGCCCTTGAGTCCCCAGTTCAAATCCTTCGATCAGACTGGAGTCACCTGGGAAGGAAGGGTTGGCAGGAGGTGGACACCTCCCAGTGTCTATACCTGTTCTTAGAAGCATCAGGAAAGATGAGATGATGTTGAGGCAAGTGGCCACTAAATCAGAGGAGCAAAGCTATTTTTCAGAATTTGCACAGGGAACACACTTGGCTTTGGCTGATGTTTCCAGCACTGGAAGGCATAAAATTAACAAAATCAGCCCCAAAGGCAAATCAGCCCCCAAATCTGCACCGAAGGCAGGTGATAGTACAAACTTGTGAAGACTGTTCAGTTTGCCAAGGCTGCTGGTATCAGGTCACCTGAGTGTGGTCTCCATGGTCGCTGACCATGAAGCTTATTATGCAAAATGGAAACAAGGAAGGAGGCAGAATAACTCAGTCACTCTCATGAGTATTTTTCCTAACAAGATGGTTTACCACCAAAAAAAGAGGTACCCTAGTGGGTACCTTTGCAGATGTGAAAGCTGGATAACTTGACTTTTCTTTTTGGTAATGACTTGCATTTATCTGGTGCCTTTCTTTGGAAGAATCCCAAAGTGCTTTAGAGACTATCTTTTTAACATCTCTTGTACATATATATATATATATATATATACTTGTATAAAATGTTACTTTGCCCACCTGGACCGCCAATCACTTCTGAGCATGAGAATGTCCCAATAGCATTGAGTTTTCCAAGTGGTAGTTTCAGATAAGTGGGAGACAGAACAACACACCTAGCTTGAACGCTGGAGTTCATTCCCACAAAGGATGGAGACTAAACCGGGATGCAGGGAGAAATAGTCTTCCCCTCCCCCAGAGTCCCACCAACCTAAGAAGGTCACAAGTGCCCTCAATGGGACCTTTGCATGACTTTGCAAGATAACATCTAATATAACAGTTTCCTCTAGTCCCTGAAGCTAACCAGGGAGGGAGGGTCAGGTTAACATTCTGCTCTGTTCTTGGAGCAAAGACTATTAATATGAGGTGACATCTTAATGCCACCAAGCTGTCAGACTGACCCATAAACCTCCTTTAGGGGGGACTCAGTAAAAACTGGAGATCATTTATTTGCAGCTATTGGCTTGAACTCGGCTTCACTCCCAACATTTGAAGGTTATTATTTTCAATGCCATTGGGACAAATATATGGAGCAGGCTTGTCTCATGATATATGTGATGAGCATTTTGGAAGGGCTGGGTTGGGGAGTGACACACATCTATTGCACAAATGCATATCAGTTATAGGTCTGTGTTTTCCGCCAAACCCTCCATTTCCCGGGGTTTGCTACTGAGGAAGGGCATGTTGTAATGCCGAGCTGAATTGTAGCTCATAAGGTAGTAATTGGTATTTAACATTTGAATTTGTTATTTCTACTTATCTTAGCACTCAAGTAATTGAACTACCTGCTAATTTTTGCCTCATTTCAAAGAAAATAAGTTGTTACGCACTTTGGGATAGCGGTGATCTGTGCAGGCTGTGTGTTATCTACTTGAAGGCTTAACTGGCATTTCTTGCATGTTTTAACAGCATGACTTGTTACAGAGTTGTAATTTTAAAAACCGAGAACGCCGTGTTTGTGCTGTCAGTTTTAACACTCATTAACACACTACTGTGCAAGCATTGAGGCAGGCTCCGCCGAACCGTTATGTCTGATTGCTGCACTTTCCTCTCCGTGCCGCGACTCAGGAACAAGCAGTAGCACTGACACACTCAGGACTCCAGCCTCGAAAAGTATGCAGATTAAATGGAAAAAAATTATCTGCGCTTCTTGGAGGCACTTCAATTACATATGCAGCGGCAAACACAACAAGAGCATTCAAAGTTGGGGGCCGGATTTGCTGAGAAAGGCTGGGCTGTGTCTATTCTTTGCAGGCATACAGAGGTGGGGTCCCTTTTTTGCCAGGACCTAGAGCTACTAGCCTTCTCTGTAGAAGGCATGGCCATGTATTCTTGGAGCCCTCTAGAAACAGACACCCCTGCAGCACCCCCCCCCCCCCCCCCCCCCCCCCCCCCCGCACACTGCCCTGCTCTGTGGCTCTGACAGCCAGCCCTGCCAACCGCATCCTGTCCCACCAGGGGCCACCGTCCCTGCTGCTGAAGTAACGCCTCAGCAGGACATAGGGTACCAGGTAACCCTGAGTGCCCTGGCTGCTTGAGTGTGAATATTGCTGGGGGCGTGTGGAGCCAGTCTTAGCGTTACTAAACCCAGACTTAGAGCGCGAGTCCTTCCGAAGGCCGTGGTGACTCAGTGGGAAGGGCGCTGGGCTGACCAGGCTGTGCTCGGTTTTGCCTTCAGCTCTGTGGTCGTGGGCACATCACTTGGCCTCTCTGAGCCTCACGTTCCACTGCTGCAAAATGAGAAGGTTGGATTAGATAATCCTTAAAGCCCTGCCAAGTTCCTCGCTTTAATGTAAGAAACAGAATTTCTGCATGTCTCTCTGCACCCTCATTACAGCTGTGAACAGATCCTGAGATCCCTAATTTATTTGTAATCAGAGCAGAGGGACTGCTTACAGCCTTCTATTTGGTTTCATCTCCTCTTCAGCAGTCAGCCACAATAGATGACAGTTCCAGGGACAAGGCAACCAGAAAACTGCTTGGGCTAGTGTCTGTTCCAAGTGAATAGAGTTTTAAAGTCATGATTAAGTGTCTCCTTTGGGCTTTGAACTATTTACACCCATTTATACCTCGTCAAAATTCCTGCTATTAAAAATCATTAAACAGAGAAGAAAATTGCATTGATCCCATTTGGCTTCGGGGCTGACTCTGCACACTGTTTTTGGTCCCTTGTGTGGAGCCTGGCAGATCCCTTACCCCTGTTCCCGTGAGGCTGCCCTCAGTGCACAGGGCAGATGGGTCTCCCCCTTGAGGAGGGGTGGGATCTGCAGTTGTCCTCTCCCAGCACTCTGCAGAAGGGAGCAGGGGTCTGTGGGAACTTGCCCTGGGCTCGTGGGGCCTGAAGAGGGAGCGCGGCACCCAGGAGGCTCGTGGTCCTGGCATTCCCACCAAGTGGGGCGTAGCCTGGCTCCCCCTCTAGCTGTTGTCCCTCCAGCAGGGGTATAAATGGATGTTCAGGGGATTTGGGGGCCAGGATGCCTTGTGTCTTTTTTTCTTTTTTTTTTGAGACAGAGTCTTGAGTGGCATCACCATAGTTCACTGAGTACAGAGTGCAGTGGCATCACTATAGCTCACTGCAACCTCACTGCTGGGCTCAAGGGATCCTCCTGCCTCAGCCTCCCCAGAGTGCCAGGATTAGAGGCATGAGCCACCACCCTGGCCTGCCTTATGTCTTAAGAGGAAAAACAAATACTGCCTCTTGAGGGAAGCACTTCCTCTTGAGGGAAGTGATAATAATCATGCACTTACATGATTATTATCTTCTTTTATTTTTAGAACTTTTAACTAGCATTACAACCCAAGGACCTTAATATGGGTGTTACATCCAATTGATATTGCAGGTCTGAAATGGCAACATTTTCCTCCTTCCGTGACCTCATTTATCAATGTCACTATCCTCTTGGCTAAATTCTCCCAAGCAGGTGACCGTGTCTGCAGCTGACAAGCTGACACCATCAGAAGCAGGTAGACACAAGCAAGGCCTGGAAGGCCTGGCCGGGGGAAAGAGATACAAAGGAGGAGGGAACGAGGGCAGGTGCGCCTTGTAGCTGCTGTGAGTTCCTGCAGGAGGAAAAAGGGGTAGGGAGAAGCCAGGAAAAGGAGCAGAGAGCATATTAGGGAGAATAAGAGAGGCAAGGTTTAACGGGGTACTTTTAGGCCTTTGATTAAATGCATTGCATTTGCAGTCAGCATGGCTCTTAGCCCACCTGGGGCCTCCTGGAGGTGACTATTGCAGGAGGCCACGCCCACCCTCCTCCACCTGGAGCCGGGACCCCCTGCCCGCTGGCCGAGGGCATTGCAATCTGGTAGGGTAGACAGCTGTGGAGACTACTAAAAGCATTTGGGATGAAAGGAGCAGTGAGGATACAAGGAAAGAAAGAATAAATGTTTCCTCTTGAAGATGGGACGGCTGGGTTGTGCAGGAAGAGGACAGGCTGCCGGCCAGACAGAGGGTGGTGGTGGGAGTCAGGGATGGGGCGGGGGGGGGGGGGGACGAGGACAGGGAAGAAACCTCTTTCTCCAGGAACAGGGACCTGCATAAGCAAAGACAGGGAGGCAAAGGCAGCCCGCGCATGTGGGAAACACGTAAGCCGGTCTGGCTAAGAAGCAAGGTGCAAAAATAGGTCAGAGCAAAACCATGTGAAAAACTAACGAGCTTGAGCTTCATTCTTTTGTCACTGGGGTGGAGAAATCCCGACCAGATTAATGTTGTCAGAACGTGACTGCGGCAGCAGCTGGGAGCATGAGAGGGGCCAGGAGGCCTGTTTGAGGTCGTGGCCACGGCACGGCACGGCACGGCACGGGCAAAAGGAGCGGGCGAGGGCAAGGGGCAGAGGGGAGGGGGCTGGCTCTGCAGGTCTCCGTCAGCAACAGGAGGGAGAGGGAGGGGCAGGGTGGCTTCTGGGTTCCTGGCTGGCTTGGTGACTGGCTGGATGGTGGGGCCACCAAGAGAGGGAACACTCAGATCCTCCCCAAGGCGGAGCCTGGGGACACACAGATGCTGGCACGTGGTGGGCAGAGGCCTGGGACAGGAGTCATCAGCTTGGAGATGGCAGTGAAACCATGAGTGAGATTGCCAGGAAACACCCGGAGAAAGAGAAGAAAGGACAGGTGGCATCCTGTGGGAGGCTGGCATCAGAGGAGCAGCCACAGGGGTGAGTTTTTCTCAGTGGACCCCTGACCTGTCAGCCTATTTCTCTCCTTTCCTGAGAAACCCCGGGGCGGGCAGTCTCCATGGCAGCCTCAGCTCTCCTCGCCAGCCTGTGCCTCATTTTCCCCCCGTGATGCGCCTCTGATCCTAGCACCCTTTTGAAACTGCTCTCTTGCTGGTCACAGTGCTTTCCTCAGAACTATTAATAAATTCAGGGGCCTTTCCTCAGGTCACAAGCTCCCCCCAAGTCTTAGACCTTGCAGATCCACCTCTACGTCCCTTGCACTCCCTCCTCCCTGATGCTAGGACACTGTGACCTTGGCGCTGCCTCTCACCTCCCTGCCACCCCGCTCACCTTTTACTCCCACAGTTCTGTCCCCAGCAGCCCGCAGTGCTCTTAGCCCCCTGCAGCCTCCACCTGCCTGCCTGTGAGGGGCCCTCATGTCTCCTGCCCACCCCTCCCCACCTCTGAGCCCACTGCCCATGTCACCCTGTGCATTTGGCAGTCACCCTGGCTGAAATGGCACTTCCTGCACTGACTCCCGCTTGCACTTCCTCTCAGCCCCTTCCTCATTCCTGCTCATGGAACTTCCGTGCTCCCAGACCCGAAGGTTGAAATTTCCATCATCTCCATTTATTTATACATTTGCTCACCATAGGGATCATTTAGGGGCAGCTGACTAATTGCCAATACAATTTTAGATATACGGGGAATAAGTCTGAAGGGCATTGCTCACGGCCATTAAGCAGCATGGACTTTAAGGTCCCTTTATTGTGCACTGAAATCATCTGGAGAGGTTTTGACAATGGAGGTTTCTGGGCATCACCCCATCTGCAAAATCAGATTCTCGGGGTGGGACCAGGAATGTGCTGTTGAAGGCTCTCAGGTGAGGTTGGTGCAGGTGGTTTTCAGGCCACTCACGGGGCATGCCGCCTCAGGGTCAGCCCTGACAACCGCTCAGTCCCTCCACCCACACCCGACCGGACACCAGGTTCTCACCAACACTGTCCTAACGGAGTCTCGCACGTGGGGACCCGGGCTCCATTCTAAGGCCTTCCCCCCACTTCAGTCCTTGTTAACACTCGTCTTCATTCCCGACAGACTCACATCCAGGCCGCCCCCTCCGATCCACGCTTCTCTGCACTCTCTCCCCCGCCACCAGGCTCAGCTTCCCCCTTTCAGGATCTTAGACCTGCTGGCGACTTCTTTGGCCACTGCTGGCTCTCATGCTGAATCCAACCACACACACGAAGAGTCGCAGCTGAGGATGTGAAAAATCCGTGTGGGACCTGCAAGGCTCTCAGACAGGGCAAAGGGCCCACTTAGGAAGAAGTGGCCTTTCACTGGGGTGACCGGGGGCAGGCAGTAGGGTGGTGGGGACATAAGAGATGTGTATGTAACAAAGGACACACCAGGTTAGCAGCACAAAGGGCCTGGCCACCTGAATGTCGTATGACCAGTCTCGTCTCCCATCCAGAGATGGCCAATCCTGAGTCCCAGCCAGACTCTTGGTCTCCCGGAGAGACCCGTGGTCTGTCCCGCCGTCCCCGGGCACCCAGGAGTTTGGTGTGAGCAGACAGACTGGGCGAACGTGGTAGGAACAGAATTGGGGTTCTCAGGGAGGTTTTTTTCCACTTAAAACTCTTTTCGTCGCCTACGTCTCCAGACATTTAAAGACTTCTGAGCTATTTTCAGACCTACTATGAAAAGAACTGAGGTGTTAGCAGTCAGACACCCAACTAACTGTTTCCTAAGAGGAGAGCTGGCATGACTCACTTTTGATCTGTCAGCTTCCTATCGATTTTTTCTGGCAAACTTTGTGGGTCTTGCCGGGGCCGAATTATAACCCACTGTCTCCAGGTTGGTCACTTCAAAGGCCATCGTGGGTTTGGCGTCTGCATTTCTTTTTGTGAAAAATGTGGGAGGAGAGGAGGGAAACCGCAATGCACAAGACCAAGGGTGTCCCCGGGCTTTCCCTCCGCCTGCTAGAGAGAAGCCAGGCAGCCTCCTCTGCGCCTCTCCTGGATTGGAGATTTGAGGACCGGCTCCGGGAACCGGCGCTGGTGGGAACTGACAGAGCCCAGGAGGAACCCGGTTCCACTGTGGCCTTCACGCTGCCCTGGGAACCTGGGAGCCAGTGGTTTGAGTTTCAGAAGGAGGATGGTGAGGTCTTATGCACAGTGTTTAAATATATTGCTATGTAATTTTCCAATTTTAAAACATGAGATCACCCATTATTCAAGTAGCTTCTACATTTTAAAAAAAGCCCTTGTGTTGTGTGTGTTTGTTTTAAAGCCTTTTCGTGCTAAAAAAAAATTCCAGTCGAACCAAAATATCCTACTGACGTTCCCATTTACCTGAATTCCCCTTCCCAATGGGAACGTGTGAATGTGTGTCAAAGCTTCAGAACAGCAAGACGCTGCTGAGCCTGAGGGACTCGTTTGTGCTGATATTTCAGGGACGAGCTCGATGCCTGGAAACTGGAATGTGCAGATGTCACATATTCAGAGAGACTGAAGTGCTGGCCTCAGCAGACAATGGCAGGAGAGGAACCCAGGGGCAGAACTGCGTCAGCCAGGAGCCATTGTTCAGCTGGGGGCAAGGCCGTGGCCACACCCTGCGCTGGCTCATGCGTGGCCGCCAGTGCTCTCATGCGGGTGCACCTCAGACAGCCCCTCAGGAGCAGGTTTGAAATGTCACAGAGGGATGTACACATGTGTACGTGTGTGTGTGTGTGTGTGTGTTTGTATGCCCACATGTATGTGCGTGTCGGTGGGTCTGGGTGTCTGTGTGTGTGTGTGGCCATATGCATGTCTGTATGCCTTGTGTGTCTGTGTGTGTGCTATGTGTGTGAATCTGTGTGTGTGTCCATGTGCCTGAGTGTGTGTCTGTCCTCGGGGGCAGATGAGGGGCGAGCCTTTCCCTTTGAGGAAAGGTGGCGAGGCTGCTCTCCTGGGCTCCGGCTAGACGTCACTTCCCTAGAGGGGCTCTCTCTGCACTCCCCCCAGTTTAAATTACGGTTTCTGCCACCCTGTGTCCCTCCCTTGCATTGTCTCCCTCCATTCAATGTTTCCCCTTCTTGGCTGCTAGTGTGGTTAGTGGTTTTTCTTTATTGGGTGATCACCCCCACCGATTTGGAGGCTCCATGGGTACAGGGATATTTATCTCCTGCGCCCAGCACAGTGCCTGGAATGGCGTGACTGCTGACAAGCAATGCCCTCTCGTTGCCCCTGTTGGATAAACTGCACGGTCAGCTATGCAGTGGATCAGATCCACTCCCCCGGGACCTGTGATTTATCCATGACATGCTGGTCAGGCAATGCCACCAACAATGAGATCGGAAGGGACAGCCTCCCTGCGAGGCATGTTTCTGAATGAGCTCCAGACAGGAGGAAAGCATGCCAGCTCTCCCCATTGGGTAATGACTAATGCATGAGCCAGTTGGCAGGTGGGAATGTCAGGAGGGATCTCTGTGCAAACGCCCGGGTCCTCTGGGGCAGGGGCCGGTAGGGAAGACCCACACTGTTAGGCTGTAGAGCAGAAGTCACTAGATGTGCCCACGGTTGGGATGGGCACGTACTCCTTGTACTGCTTAGAGGGACAGTCTTAACATTAATTAATGTTTCATTGCTGATCCTCCAGCAAATAGCAAAACCCAAAACCCAAATCTGAGCGCTTCGTTTAAATGTATCATCTTTGTGGCTGGCTGAGCAGGACGAGGTCTGCATACTGATTGGCCTGCAGCTCACTGGCTGGACCCCCAGCGCCCGTGCTGGTGTGGGAAGAGGAACTTCCAGTGTGCGTTTGTGGTCTACCATGCCCCAGCAGTGAGGCGTTGGGTACCACGTGGCACCTCTATGGCCTTCGGGGAAGAGGTGACACCTGAGCTAGGACATATGGAGGGGAGGAGGGATGTCAGAGGGAAGAGCACGTGCTCAGATTGCTGGGGGCAGGACCAAGGAGGACGTCAAAACTGTTCCCCTGGGCCAGACGGATGAAGGCTGAGGGGAGTGGATGGAAGTCTGCTCCAGGGGAGCCCTCCTGAGAGGCACAGATGCATGGAAGGAGGGGACCTGGGAGATGGTGTGAGTGTGGGAGGCCATGGCCAGAGGCTCGGAGAACCTCAGGCACAGGCAGGGTCCTCCAGCTACAGCTAAAGCTCCTAGGCTGGCAGTCTTAAGGCAAGTTTGTTTCATTTCAGCTTTTTAAAATTTATTTTCCTAAATTTCAATTGTGGTAAAAATACATACAACATAAAATTTACCATTTTAAGTGTGCAGTTCAGTGGCATTAAGTACATTCACATTATTATGCAACCATCACCACCGTCGAACTTTTTTCATCTTGCAAAACTAAATCTCTGTACTCATTAAACAATAATTCCCCATTCCCAACCAGCCCCTGGCCCATATTCAGTTTTCTATTCAGTTTTATTACATAAGCACATGTATGTGTGTGTGTGTGTGTGTGTGCGCGCGCGAGTGCGTGTGCATGTGTGCACGTGTGTGTATCACCACCCAGTGGTACGGTGCAAAATGTTACATAGATCTTCATTAAAAATTCTAGGTCACACATTTACTAGCTGTGAGAACTTGGTTAAGTAACATCATCTTTTTGAACATTTGTCTTCTCAGCTAAAATATAAGGATAATGTTAAAATACGATGCTGATATTAACAGCAAACATTCACTAAGCACTGATCAGAGAGCTTTATGTGCATCCATGCATTTAAATTTCCCGACACTCTGTAAATTGGTGCTGTTGTTATTCCCACTGGTAGGTAAGGAATCTGAAGCAGAGCGAGGTTAGAGAACTAGCCCAAGGCCACACGTAACAGCTGTCTGCTGGAGAAGGCCATTGTAAAGAAGTGCCAGCCACAGAGCTGATGCTCCACAGGTGGCTTCCTGTTGCCAGGTCAGGAGAACTCACCAGGTAAGTTAGTGAGGTGGGTGATATCTTCATGTGGCCTGGGGACCTTGTCCAAGGCCATCCAACTGGCAAGTGGCAGAGCTGGGCTCTAGCTCACTTCTCCGAGGCCAACAGTCGTAACCTCTATAATATAAATAACACAAACATAAAGTTTGCTTTAAAGTCAGGTGGAAACTCAGCAGTTACTGAGCACATTGATTTGTTCAACCCTAATTTATCTCATTTATTGAGCATCTACTATGTGTCATAGCAGAATCTCCTCCTTGAAGTTTCTCCTCTCTTGGCTTCTGGTGCCACCTCATACCTCCTTGCTTGTTGTCAAATCTGTTGGCCATTCCTCCTGCTTCAGCTATCCCCTAGAATTTGATCCTTTGTCGCTTTTTGTCCCCTCACTTAGCACAGTGTCCTTGGTCTTCATTTCCAGGTCTGCTCTCCATTCAGCTCCACATTCCTGTTTTCAGTGGCGCCCTGGACACCTAACTCCTGGGTGTCTCATCGTCATCTAAAACCGAACATGTCCAGATCTGAACTCACTATCCTACTCCTTGAACCTGCTCCTATTCCAGTGAGCTGTACCACACTGTCTTTGGGTGGCCCAAGCTGAGTCCTCAGTTTTCCTGAATGTTTGCTGAGTGAGTGTTAGCGACTATGACATTTCCAGAAATGCTAGATCAAACCACCAAGGTGCTTTACTTGAGGCCCTCAACTTTTATGTCATGATTATAGTGAAAGAGTAGGAACAAGGACAAAGTAGGATGTCTGGCTTCTCCATCTGAATGTGCAGTTAAGCTGACTATGAATTTCTTACCATTAAACTCATTCCACAATTTTGCAGTTTAGGAGTGTTACACATCATACCATTTTCACCATCTTTGTGTGGTGATTGTTGGTCTGTCATGAATCCTTGGATTTGGCATAGTAATCACACTAATAACAAATTTATAAAATAAAAATAGAACTGGTGGCAACAGATATATTATTGCTCTAACTTTGCTGCATTCAAGTTAATTTTTTATTTTTTCAACACATCAATTGAATATTGTATTTTATAAAGTACTTTTCAGTACTGTGGTTGGTTTCTTGTTATGTAGGAAACCCCGAGACTATTCTGAGAAACATAGAAATCCCTCAATTTTCATACAGATTTCTGGACCATTGATTACAGGAATTATAGGAACAAAAATTAGACTGTCTCATACCCAAAGCAAGAAAAGGACTACATTTTTCTTATTTTCGTGAAGCAGATGTGAGGCATCAGTCTATTTTGTATGAATCAAATAGTCTAGACATGCTTTCTGAAGAACCCCAGAGATGTGACCATTTTCACTCCGTAATGACAATAAAGAAGCTCATGTTTCTCCCTCTAGAAATGAGGGCATATTCACTCAGGCCTCTTAATGTAGTTGGATGCAGGAAATACAGCAGAATGTGTCACCTAAACTTTCACATTCAATTGGATAATTATTTGTTCAAGGGCAAAATAAATGCTTCCCAAGGTTTCAGGTTATTGGATACTAAGTAAACTAACTCAGGTTTGGGAGATAGCACAGGTATTTTGTGAACGTCAGTTTGTGAAAGCGGTTTTCAATGCAGTTATCTGCCTGTGTCTTTGTTTGTTCATTCATTCGTTTATTTTCCCATCCACCCTTCCAGCAAACACTGAATGACATCGGAGACACAGTGATGATGAGCAAAACACATGCAATCTATGTCCGCATGGAGACAAGCAAAGGCATTTAGCACTTAAAAATTGGGTTTCTAAGACTTCTTAACCATTGGCTTAGATTCAAAATTTAAATCACATTTCTTTTACCCGTGGTTCATTCGTCCTTTATTCAAGGAATGTTTATTAAGCATTGTTATGCTGGGGCCTGTGCTGGTGCTACAGAGGCAAGGAGAACATGGGCACCGTGATTTAAGGGGACCAGCCCGGAGCAGAGACCAGGTGAGGGGCTGCTGCAGTAGTCCAGCAGGAGATAGTGAGGCCTGAAGGACAGTGGAGGGAGAATAGAGATGAGGACACAGATTCAAGAACGATCTGGAAGCCCAAACCGGCAGAGACAGAGAGAGCGGTGTGCGGTGAAAGACAATGAAGATTCCAGGAGGACGCCCAAGCTTCTAGCATTGGTGACTGGATGGAAGATGGCGGCACCAACTGGACAGAAAATACAAAGGGGAACAGTGTTTGGTCATGGTGGGCTTGAGGCATATGTGGGACACTAAGAATGCCAGGTATGGAGTTTTAAGTAGAAGTCTGGACTGAAGGCAGGACTCTAGGAGCTGCTAGCATGTAGAAGTTTACCAAATTGAGCATGATGCCATGGGCAAATGGTGAAAACACCATAAAAGACAGACCTGCAAAAGTCACCCCTGTGTTTACTCCAAGAATATTGATAATTGAATATTAAACTGAATTTTGATGGCGTGCTTTCCAGTGGGTGCCATTAGAGAGTACTAAGAATCTTGGCACTAACAATAGTTGGGTATCTTCTGAGAAACAGAGTATGCTTTTATCTTTCATTTTCTGAAGTTCCAAAAACTAATTTTTATGATTATAAAGCTAAATATAATGTGTTCATATTTTAAAGTTTACAGTTCAATGGTTTTAAATATATTCACAGAATTGTGCAACTATCACATAATCAATTTTAGAACATTTTTATCACCACACCCCAAAAAGCAAGCTGTACCTATTATTCTATTCTTTTTATTGCTGAATCATATTCCCTGGTGTGGATATACCACATTCTATTTATCCATTCATGAGTTGGTTTATCCTTTTATCTAACAGACCATCACCATCTAATAAAAATATAATGCAAACTACAAATAAAATTTTCTAGTAGCCACATTTTTAAAAGCAAAAAGAAATGGCGAAATTAATTTTAATAAATTGTTTTAACCCAATGTATGCAAAATATCATTTCAACATGTAAAAAGTATAAAAAAATTATTGAAATATTTTACTTTTTTGTACTAAATCTCTGAAATACAATGTGTATTTTATACTCACAGTGCATTTCCATTTGGACTAGCCACATTACAAAGGCTAGCGGTTACCATATTGGACAATATAATTAGACAATGTAACTAACTATTTCTGGTTTCCTTCTTCACTTTGGGTTCTAGGAAGCTTCAGGCCAAATTCATAGTAAGCAGTTTTTTGTTAGTATGATTCATGGGTCCAGATTGCTTCTCCACTTTTGTTTTCTTTGTTGTGTTTCATCTTTTCTCATTTGTTCTTATTTATGCTACTTTGTTATACTTTATGCATCTTTCCTTATAAATCGCCTTAATTAACAGTGAAAACTACTGGTGGTCTTGAGAAGAAAACTGCTGATAAAAGAAGATAAGCTTTTCACTCAGGCACACAGCTAGTGAACTGATTTGAGGAGCTGAATTTAAACCTGTTTCCTCAGAAGCTGTTGCCAACTCTACTCACCTTTCTCTGCCCCCTTTGCCCCAATACCTACCCTCAGCAAGCCTCTGAGGACATCATTATTTCTAGATATTTATTAACTAGTAGAAATTGTTACTGCCCATCCGAGGAAAAAAACCGAAGCAGACCATGTGATCATTATGAGCTCTCATAAATTACAGGACAGGGAGAGTCAGCAAGACAAATTATCTTCAATGCGTTTTTACTAAATGTTTTAATTATGTAGTGAACTTTCTCATTCACTGAAAGGTGTACTAAATATTCTTTCTCATCTTTCTGCCTTTATGCTTTGCCTACCCCAAAGTGCTCTTCTCCATTTCCTGTCGTCACAAGCCTCCAGATCCAGTTCACGTATCTCTTCCGTGAAGCCGCCTTCGATCCCTACGACTGCAGGGCTTTTTAAGTATCTTTCTTATTGCAATCCCCACACTAGGGATCCATGTTCTGCACCAGGCTGTAAGCACCGGCTCTTGGGCAGGAATCAGGCTGCCTTTGTTTCTCCACACTTAGCATAGATGCTGGAACATAGTTTGTATGGTTTCTAGCACCCATTAGATTTCTGTGAAAGTGAAATAATTTTACATTAAAAATTTTAAAGACATTCTGCTTGAACTTCTGTTAACGGCCTGTCACATTCAAATTCAAATCATACCCCAAATTACTACTTACTTGTTACAGCGATTCATTTATCCTCAAAATCCAAAAGTCTTGCTGAAACTTTCTAAGGCCCAGGTTCATTAGTTCATTACTATCAGGCTCTAATATCAGATACAATTTTCAAAGACCGCATCCTAAGCATGCAAACCAATGTATGGTCATCGGCTTTTAAAATAAACTTCTGTATACTTTATGAAAGGTCAACAGGGGATGAATTCATGAATTTTCACATTGACTCATTAATAATGAAACAGTTCTACATTTCAGATTCTTCAGTGTCTCTTGTTTTTTAACATCAAAGACTTCTGTTCCAAGTGCTATTATGTCTTTTCATTTGAATATTTTTGCCAAGAATACTTTCTTTCTAAATAGGAAAGAAAGCTGTCATGGAATAAATGGAAAGGCTGAAAACTGCACAGCTGCAGGATTGCCCCCATCTGCATGCTGTGCAGACACTGAAACATTAGAAAGAGAATATTTTAAAGCTGAGAGCTTTAGTATCAGGTTCTATTTAGCTTTCACTCAACTAATTGCAGTTCACCTTGGAAAATTCTATAAAAATTTAAAAGACAACTGGTTGCTTGGTTTGAACATGGGCAGGCACTGGATTTTCTACTAGAAAAATTGTGAACTTACTAGCTCTTAGTGCTATCTCATAAAATGGAATAGACTTACTTTTCTGTTCAGGATATGTAGAGTATGACATTATTTTGTAATTTTGGGTTAAAATTGTCATTTGTATCATGCTTTGAAAAACTATTTCCGTTTGTTCTTTTTTTTTTTTTCTCCCCTTCATATCTTTCTCTTTCCATTGAGAACATGAAGTGGCATATGAATAGAAAAATAAAAGTGGAAAAATACAGAGAGGTAAATGTTTTGTAAGGGATTCCTGACCTGTTGGCTGACTTGGGGCTGGAAGGTGTGTGCCTGGTCAGCCTGAATCAGTTTTTGTATAAATGTGGTTTGAACAGGTCATGAGGCCAGGAAGGGCAAGGGCCACGGGCATTATAGTGTTTTCTAGCTTGGCTCCTTCCAGAAGAGGAAGAACAGGAGTTATCTCAGTCTTCAGCAACCTTACATCCTAGGGCTCCCCTTTCCTCAGGTGGTAATACCCCAATATGGAAGATTCCAACAGGGTTCTAGGTCCAGGAGCTGAACAACAAATCACCTTGAGACATATTACCATATTTAACACTCAGAAGAACCCTACAAGAGGATAAAAAGATTTCTCATGATAGGCTAGATCTTTTTAAGTACAGTGGCAGCACTCATATCTCCAGATATCTCCTTTTAAAAAATATTTTCAGTTTTATAAATATAAGATCAGGGCAGTATATATAGATCATAGAATTCTATAAAGCTATTAAAATATAAACTTGATTTTGAACTTCCCTGCAACAAAGTAAGTTGGGACCAAGTCAATTACATGATTCATATTTGTAAGGACCAAGAACGCTAAAACTTTAGCGAAACAAAACTTTAGAAATGGGTCTTCACAAATGAGGCAATAGATGCTGGGCTTAATGATATCTCTACAATAGAAATAATGGTCTTAAAAAGAGGAGGGCGGAAAGTTTAGCTTAACATGATGCTATGATTTGGATGTGGTTTGTCATGTTGAAATTTAATTGCCAGGGTAAAGGTGTTGGGAAGTGGCAACTTTGAGAGGTGATTAGGTAATTGAGATAGATTAATGTCTTTCTCTTGAGACTGGGTTAGTTCTCCCAGGATGGAACCAGTTGTCTAGAGTGGGCTGTTCTCATGTTTTGCCCATTTTCGCACATGCCCACCCACCTTTCACTTCTCTGTTATGTTGTGATGCAGCACGAGGCCCTCACCAGAAGCGACCAGATTCCGATGAAACACTTAACTTCCAGCATGCAGAACCGTAAGCCAAATAAACCTCTTTTCTTTGTAAATTACCCAGAACCAGGTATTCTGTTATAGCAACACAAAATGGACTAAGACACATAACTTACTTTGCTCTGTGTATAAAGAAAATACGTTAAAAAATTAAATACAATAGATTTTCCTCAGTGCAAACCAGCTCCAGAGAGTAGATCAGGCCCTTAAAAGAAGACCTATTTGGGTTCTAGGAGACTTTAATTCACTTTAGAAGTAATAGTCAACTTGCTTATCAATGAACAGAGTTCTTTTCTTCATTCATGCAAAAACAATGCACTACACTGAAAAGGGTTAAAAGTTTATTTTTAAAGCTAATATCTATGTGTCATATGCCAGGAACTTTGCTAAATATTTTCCATGTGCAAGAAAATTTGATCTTCCCAACTGCTGAATTATCATAGATGAAGAAATTGAAACATAGATTAAATTGTTATTTTTTGCCCAGGAGAGCAAAGATGTAAAGGAATAACTGGGATTTGAATCAGCTCCTTCCACCATGCTGATTAATGTTTTTCAAAGAAAGACTGGTAGAAAATGGAATACCTTATCATTCACAAAAATTGCTTTCAAGGCACAAGAACTCCACACATATCCTAATAATAAAGGAAAAAATCTTTTTGTACAACTCATCTTGTAAACTTGAATAAATGCACCCTGCATCTTTTTTCTATGTGTAGAAAGGATGCCATTTCAGAAAATGTAGGTTCACTTCACTGAAATGTGAAAGAGGTAAAGTCAGCTAACAATGGTCCTCTCCTCTAAGTTTTAATCAAAAAGCCATCTCCTCCTAAGATAGAGCAGCAGGCGGGCTTAGAAAACCTGTCCAACATTTGAAAGCCAGACCTCCTGTGTGGCTATGTAGTCTACTGGAAAACACAATGATTTTGGAGACAGGGGAGTTTAAAATCCATAGTGGCATTAGCTAGCTGTGTGACCTCATTTAATCTCCCCAATCCTTTCTTTTCAGTCTTCCTTTTCTTTTTCATTAAAAGGAATATGCATCTTGTTGTGAAGGTTTGAGACAATTTATCATAAGTGCATTGCTTAGTAGATGCTCAAAAAATGACTATTATTGTTGTTACAGTAATTACCTGGAGAAAGGCACCTGTATGATTAATGATGACAATTTTTTGTTTGAGCTCATTACATTCAACAAAACTTCACTCAATACCAAATTATATCTAATATACTGGCAAGCACTATGGGGGAAACAAAATGGATAAGTCTCTGTTTTCAGAAACTTTACAACCCAGAAAGAAGATAGATAATTTTAAGAGTTTAGAAGCGGTTCAGTTTGGTGGGAGAAAGGGCTCAAATAAAGCAATAATGGGAGATGAGGTCATGAATGTCAGTTGAGGCATGTTGTAGGTCTTGAATGCCAGGAGGCAGACTTCATTTTCAACTTAATAGGCAAAATTCTGTAAGCAGAAAAGTGACTCCCAAAACCAGACTTTTTATTTAGGTAGCTTAATAAAGTAAAGAAATTGGTGTCAGGGAGTCTCGTTAATATGGTCTGGTGTGAGAAGAGTATGAGCTTGGAATTGTTTTCCCAAGATTGGTGGAAAACTAAGCTGGTTGCCTGCTTTCCCTCTTGGGGTCTTTTTTTGACTCAAAAAGTAGGAAGTGGTTGGCTGTGGTCAAAGGTGGTTTGTGTGGGCATGGGACAGGAAGAAGCTGAGTGACACCCAGAGGACAAATCACCCTCAGTGGCATCAGATTACCCAATTAAGGTTTATAAAACTTCCTTGGGTCCAGGTCTCAGCATGTTGCTCAAGCAGCAAAGAGAAAGTTCTCAGGAGACTCTGGATTCCTACCCTTCCATGCCGAAAAAAGAATATCTCGTACTCCAAACAGCATTTTGATAAAATATCTAATTAAATGCTGTGCCTAATAACAGTTTAGTAATGCAGGGTAACTCCAATTATTTTTTTACATGACGTTCTATTTAGAATGTCATTAGTATTTTCAGAATTTATTTTAATCACTAGTCTTTTCCATACAGGATAGGAAATGAAAATAGCATTCTTATTGAATGCTAATGTGTCAGTAATTTGAAAAGATTTCCTGTGACTAAGTTAAAAACATCTTATTAATGTATTATATAATTGTCCTTAGAGAACTACATATCCTTCAGTGAGTATTGCATGATTTTAAACCCTGGGGATGTGATTCAGTAAATAAGCAGACGAAAGAAATATAAAAGCACGTAAATAATGTATAGAAGATTTTAGCACAGTCTGACACATAGTAAGTGCCCTAAATAATAGATGTTATTATTTTAAAATCCATTTAAATATATTTCTTTTCCAATTTATATTGGCCAAATTAGTTCAGATTTTGAACATAAAACTGTTTATACTAAAATAAGCTAAGTGTATTGTAAGTCTGTAGAAATGAGTCATCTAAGTTCATTAAATCAAAGAAAAAAGTTTCTCATCTAGAGGACAATATATACAATGATGTTGGCTTTTCAGCAAGATGAAACCCTGACTCATTAGCTTCAATTACATTGACAATACTGTATTTATTAAAGGATGGGGGTGTGCAGAAAGTACACTTACTTATTTTTGGAAAGTTCTCAGCAACCAAGGTTAAAATAAGAGTTTTTTCTTAAACTCATTAAAATAACTAAAAAAACTCTCTGTCCTAAGTATCATGATTAAGACTTAACTAGATTTGAAGATTTCTTTCAAGGCTTATGGTCTTCAAAACTTACCTTACATTTTTTATTAATTGGTGGGGGCAGGGAGTAAGAAGATAGGAAAAATTTTAAACTAGATATCCTAAAATGTTTTGGAGTTTTCTATGATGCTAAAATAAAACATGCCTATTACTCGTGTATTCGTGCACATATATTTAAATAAGCTTAGGACAGGCACAGTGGCTAATGCCTGTAGTCTTAGCACACTGGGAGGCAGAGACAGATGGATTGTTTGAGCTCAGGAGTTTGAGACCAGCCTGAGCAAGAGCGAGACCCCGTCTCTACTAAAAAGGTAGAAAGAAATTACCTGGACAACTAAAAATATATATATATAAAAAATTAGCCGGACATAGTGGTGCATGCCTACAGTCCCAGCTACTTGGGAGGCTGAGGCAGGAGGATCGCTTGAGCCCAGGAGTTTGAGGTGGCTGAGCCAGGCTAACGCCACAGCACTCTAGCTTGGGCAACAGAGTGAGACTCTGTCTCAAACTAATAATAATAATAATAATAATAATAATAATAAGCTTAGGTATAACATAAGGGTATGTTTACATAAAAATTATAATGTGATTGGAACATTTGACATTAAAAGAAGGACTCTTGTTGAGATTGAATTAGTAAGAGTGGTTAACAGGCCTCACTGAATTAATTTGCATAAATCTTCTAATTTAGCAAACTGGAGAGTAATCATCTTCCTAGGTTTTTTGTCCATTTCACATAGGTGGTTTTGGCTGGATGACAGCAAATCAGTCATTTGACTCTATCAACTCAGGCAAGGCATTAAGATAGGTTAGTGGAAAAGAAAAACAATTAAGAAAGGAAAAAAAGGGCAGGGGGTGACTTGATCAACTCATCTGACTGACCCAAACAGACTCCAGTAATGAATAGCTGAAGCATATATTGTAAATTCAATCTTTATTTTTAATAATCTTTATATAGGTTTCATATTTATCACCATTTATTTTTACAGTCTTATAATTTGCATCCAATCACACAATTTATTATATGTGAGTACTCAACAGGGCAGAGACAAATGCCACTTCAAGGCATTACCTGGGGCACAAATGCTCTTTTAAAAAGGAATGAAAGCTTTCCAGAGATGCTATACCTACCTTCTCTGGCAGACATTAGTGAACTCACCAGCATTTCTCCTTCTCTCCCTCCAGCCACATGGTGAGGCTGCACTTCCTGGCTCCCTTGACATTAGGAGTGGCCATGTGACTAGTTCTGAATACCGGGCTGTGGCAGACCTGACATGTGTTGCTGCCAGCTGGAGTGAGCATGAGATTTGTCAGTGCCTCCTCCCCTCACTGTGGTGGCCACAAATGCTGCAGATGGTTGAGGCCCCACCAGTGGGTCCCTGGGTGAGAATGACAGGAGCAGGGCACTCTGCCAACCTGGGGTGGGCCTGGAGCATGAGTGAGGAATAACCTGTGTTATGTGAAGCCACTAAAGTTTGAGGGCTGTCACCACTGCATAATCTAGCCTGCCCTAACTAATAAGCCTGCCTTGCTTAGGAAAGACAGAGTCTAGGTCATGAGTTATAAAAAAGGAGGTGGGGATGAAATATGCTGGGTGGCACAGTAAAATTTATTTCTCTTTATGATTTACACGTAGTAATTAAACACACAACAGAACAAACACTGTCATGATGGCCATATGTAGCTTAGGAAATGACTGGTCCCAGTTCAATCATACAAATGTTCATTCAGTGTGGAAATGAGTTTCTTTTTAATGATTTTAATCTTCTTTTTCAGTCCCCAAGGCTTGCACAGTTCAGTAAAAATGTTTTTGCTATTGTGTTATCATCAGGCACATGATATTTACCAATTCCCAGAAAATAAATGAAATCAACAAAAAAAGTCCTGTGACAATAAGGGTATATTTTCAGAGAAGTAAATTTGATGAGGTTATTACAGTTTGATTCAGTTTAGTTATCAGACCTACACACGAAACACAAAATAATATTAACAAATTACATTTGTATTAAGTTTTCATTTCTTTTAAAATATTAAACACATTTTGTGCAAGAGTTCCATTGATTTCTTTGGTTTTAAACATTATAGCTTTGCTTGACCTAAATATATATAGTTCTATTTGTACCAAACATCAAAAATCAAAAGATTAAACAAAATTTCAAAAGGTAAAAATGGAATTATTGCTTCAATATAAAAAGGCCTAGTCCATTGGAGTACTACTGCCATTATTGCTTCGCTTTTATTGGAAAACTATCTTGGAAATCAAGGAACATACCCTATATCTCCCTGCTTAAAGTATAATTTGGTTGTACATTATCATCTATTAATATGACCCTACCTTCACCAAAGCTATCCTGATCTTATCCTTTAAAAACAAAACAAAGTGAAATAGCATAAATAAATAAGTTTACCTAAGGGGATACAATAAATACACTACTACATAGGAATAAAGAATATTGTAACATAAAGCCCTTCAGTGCTATACAATTAAACAATAGTTTTGGATTTTCAAGGTCTCTAAACACAACCTTCATATTATGACCCAGTTTTATTTCTGGTATACAGCCGACAGAAAAAGAGAATACATTTCTGTTGTTCTCATGTAAGAGTGAAAACAGAGTGAATATAATTATAAATTTAGCCTTTTGGGAATTTACCTGGGTATGTACCATCATCAGTTTTTGATCTTTGCCTAATGGTAGAGCATAAATCTTAGGGATTAAAAAAAGCCCTAATATTTCTTCCATTCTTAGTGGTTTCTTGTTCTCCAGAATAGCTAAACAGAGAAGAAACCAAACTCAAAAGTTTTGCTGTCTTCTTTTCTTCGCATCCATTGCATCCAGAATGGGCTGTCTTTTAGCAGTGTATCTCTGACGAAGTTCTTCTATTTCTCGTTCCATCATAGGGTCCAGTGCTTTTAACCGCATCTGTAGTTCTTCTAAACTTAGATTTTTTAACTAGATATAGAAAAAAATGAAGATATTAATATGGTAAAGTTATCCACAATAAAGTTTAAAGAGTTTTGGCATGAATATTTCAGCAAATTCTTTACATCATCTTTGAAGTATGGTTCAACAATTAAAAGAGGAATTCCTTCCCTGAAGAACCCAGAAGCTCTATCTTGAAAGCACCTCAAGTAATTTGCAACAAAACAATCAAAGCCTCTGCTTTTAGAAAAGAGCAAATGAGAAAAATGAGCTGATGAAATTTTTAAAAAGGTACAAAGGCAAATACACCACTGCCAAAAAACAGACTTTCAGAATATGTGCCAGGTATATTCACTCCAATCTCTCCCATCTTTGCCAGCTATGGAGTGCTGCAATAATCACGAACACTTGCATAAATCACCCAAGAATGTGACAAGACACAATAAAGGGTAAATTAACTGTTCTATCCTCCTTTTGACCAAATGCTTAAATTTTAAGCACTCAGTTAATCAGAAAATTACATTATACAGAATTTTACCCCAAGCATTTTGATAAAGTACTTATTTTGATAAAGTACTTATGATCCAAAATATCACAAACCTGATACAAACGGTGCTGTGTAAGTTGTGATGTGGGCTTGGCCAATTTGAAAATGAATTGCCTGTTAAATTTTCCCAATACACATTACAGTTTGATTATGCTGGCTACTGGGACAACAATAATACATCCTTTACTAGGTTTCTGTGTAACAGGATAGAGGTTTTAGGTCATGTGTGTAAGGGGGATAAACTCTGTTCTGCTACATAACAAGATCTAGGGCATCCTAAGCTTTACCGTATTTATTTATATGTCAAAACAGCAAGATACAGATTATCTCCTGAGAAATATATTTTAGGGATGTTATCTGAGGGCATATAGAATGCCCTGAAATATAAAACCTAATACCTGGGCTTTTATCTCATTAACATTAAAAAAATCTAAAACTGTCTCCTTTAAAAACTGAATATTAAAGCAATGGTAGCAGGCAGGTGGTTTAAAAAATCTGTTAAACTGCAATGATTTATAGAATGCTGTCACATACTCAGCACCTTCAGTAGGTACTATAAGGAAAAGAAAGAAGAACTAAACTATTTCCTTGCTCTTAAGAAACTCAGAAATCAGTTGGAAGGGTAACAGTAGCAACTATAAACACTGAACACATTAACTGTCATGTGAGTTGTATTTAACACACACTAGTTTTAAACCCGGGGCCCTGTGAAGCATATGTACTCACACATCTCTACCTTGGGAGCTGTGTGAACGAACCATTCTTCAAGTTGCATATAACTCATGCAGAGACAAGAAAAAACAACAAATTTTTCATTAAATTAGAAAGGATCATTTTGTTTTCAAAGTTTTTATTCTATTTTTGTAATAAAACACTGTGGCCTCAAGGAAAAAGTTTTTTTTGCTAGCATGGCAATCAGTGTATTAAGGACCAATGCGAGGCCCTATACAATTAAACTCTACTAAGTGTGGTACAGATTACAGTGAGAGGTCCATGAACAAACTTCTCATGTGCAAAATTGTGCATGTTCATGTGTACGTTTTCTTGGGGACAGTATTTATTTTTTTGCTTTGTTTTGAAGCAAATTCCCCTTGAAAAAAGAGCCTCATATAAATTCGATGTAACTTGGGCAGAGAAGAGCCTCCCTTCTGGGAGCAGGGACTACGAAGGTCCTTGAAGAGGAGTCCCTCTAAGCCATGTGCAGTCCCAAGGAGGAGGCCTCTGCCGTGCTAGGTTAAAGGACTAAGGACACTAGAGAACTAGGGGCTCAGAAGAGGACTCTGGTGGGGTGTTGAAAGTAAATCTAGACAGGCCAGTGAGGCTCTAAAAGCCAGGCAAAACAAAATTTGGACTTCATGAAGTCAAGATTAATTCTGGAACAAGAAAATTATAAGAGTAATCCAGAGTTGGTTTTTCTTTTTTGTTGTTGTTCTTTTGTGCTGTGTAAATTGTGTTCTGGGATCGGCCACTTTGTTTTTGAGATGGGGTCTCACTCTGTTGCACAGGCTAGAGTGCAGTGGTGTCATCACAGCTTACTGCAGCCTGGAACTCCTGGGCTCAAGCAATCGATCCTCCTGTCTCAGCCTCCCAAGTAGCTGGGATTACCGGTGCATGCCACTACACTTAGTTTTAAAATGATAAAACTTGCAACTTTTTTGTTTTAAGAAGATAACTGTCTTTGGTTATTTTATGAGTCAAGCTAGAAAACACTCTCATTACTTCCAGTTGCCAAAAATGGTATTTCTCAGCTGATCCTCTACTTTACTTGCCATACCTGGCCCTACATGACTTCTGCTTCCAAAAATCAAATCCATTCTCAGCTGAGAAAGATTCTGAGGATACTGACAAGAATGAGTCACAGACTCTGAAGGAAATTCAAAACAAGTTCCAAAAATATTTTGAGAAATGGGTGTTACGGGAAGGAGTGTACAGGCTCCGTGATGATGACTCTGAAGGTCAACACCACTTGCTATGGTGTATAAGTTCTCACATGTGTAAAATAAGCCCTATTATTTTTTAGTCATACATCACAAAAGAACCTAGCTTTTTATATTATGCCATAATATATGTTCATATATAATACATAGTATTATATACTTTCTTCATTAATTTTGAATCCAAATATTAATCATATATCCATTATATACTCAGTGCTATTCAAATCACTGTGAGGATAAAGAATTAGCCAACAGGGAAACCTAAAACTTTCTGAACTGTATAAACAGGTGATGGTGAGTTGAAGGGCCAATGCAGACCACACAACCAAATTTCCCTGAGAAAGAAGTTCCCAGCTGCTTCTACACAGGATCCAATTCTACTTCTGAATGTTTCAACATTATCTCTATTTCAGCCCACATTAATCTTTCCCATCTCTGCATTTCTATATAACATTCATAATTTTAAAAAAGCCATTTAGTATTTGATTCTAGATCATGTATTATTTTATAATGAATTTTAATGCATGAGTTTCATGTCCTCACTCCAGATATTAAAAAAATATTTAGACTTCGGAGTTTTGTACATAGTCCTAGAAACTATCCGACAATACTGCTAAATAACATGACATGAAAGTAAGTAGATAAATAAGAATAAATGACTCAAAGGAGTGGGTTACTCTAGCATATCATATAAAGCAAACCATTATCATTACTTTAAAATTTTTTTGCATTAAGATATTCATGGCATGGTGTAGTGGCAAACACCTGTAATCCTAGCACTCTGGGAGGCCAAGTTGGGAGGAGTGCTTGAGGGCCATGAGTTCAAGACCAGCCTGAGCAAGAGTGAAACCCTGCCTCTACAAAAAAATAGAAAAATAAGCCTGGCATGGTAGCGTGCGCCTGTAGTCGCAGCTGCTTGGGAGGCTGAGGTGGGAGGATCACTGGAGCCCGGGAGTTTGAGGTTGCAGGGAGCTATGATGATGTCACTGCACTCTAGCCCAGGCAACAGAGACCCTATCTCAAAAAAAAAAAAAAAAAGATATTCCTTTAAATATTTTATACTACCTTTACAGGGGGGCAAACTGCCAATAGTTTATGAATATTATATTACAGTAATGGACTGAATTCAGGGAAAGAAGCTACTTAGAAGAAAAATTTTCCTGCTCTAACAGACTTTTATATTTTCAATATGTAAAATTTATGAAAAACAGGTCTGTGACATCAGAGAACCATTATCTGGTGTCGTTAAGGAATTAGGTGTTCCATATAAGTAAATTAATAAAGTACCTAAATCTTGGTTAAGTGACAAAACTTTGTCTCAATCATTTTGAACAGAAAATCTTTATAAAAAGTATTTTACAGAACATACTGCCTTCTACACAGAGTACATAGAATGTAAAACAACCCTTCTTTGGTGATGAGTTGTCATTATTAATCTCTATTATGTATAATTTTCTCACTCCTTTTTTGGCTTGTTTTCATCTGAGGGAATGATGTTAGCTTTTCTTTTTGGCCCTCATTGGACAAATACCCTTCTATCTCTACATCAAGTTTGCTCATCTATTGGGAACCAGAAAAAAATTAAACAATCTTATAAGGTGTTACACTAAATAAGAATAGGTTGTGAGTGAAAGCATGAGGCTGTTTTAGGAAAGACAGAGAACGGTTTCAGTGCTAAAGCTTGTCATACTTATTACTAATGTTTGTATTTATTTTATTTTTTTTATTTTTAAAATTTCAGAATACTATGGGGACACAAACATCTTGGTTACATAAATTGCTTTTGTACAGTTTGAGTCAAAATTATTTTATCCATTAAGTGTGAATTTACTCATCCCCTCCTCCCTACTTGATTTCCAGTGAGTGTTATTTCAGCATATAAATGTTGAACGATTAATTCTAATTTAATAGTGAGTACATATGGTGTTTGTTTTTCCATACTTGGGATACTTCACTTATAAGAATAGTCTCCAGGTCCATCCAGGTTAATAAAAGAGGCATTAGTTCACCATTGTTTTTATAGCTGAGTAGTACTCCATGGTATATATATACCACATTTTATTAACCCACTCAGGTATTGATGGGCACTTGGGTTGTTTCCACATCTTTGTGATTGTGAATTGTGCTGCTATAAACATTCAGCTGCACGTATCTTTTTAATAAAATGTCTTTTTTTCCTTTGGGTAAATACCCAGTAGTGGAATTGCTGGATTAAATGGTAGGTCTACTTTTAGTTCTTTGAGGTATTTCCATACTACTTTCCATAGAGGTTGTACTAGTTTGCAGTCCCACCAACAGTGTATGAGGTTCCTATCTCTCCACATCCACACCAGCATTTGTTTTTTTGGGATTTTTTGATAAAAGCCATTCTCACTAGAGTTAGGTGATATCTCATTGTGGCTTTGACTTGCATTTCCCTGATGATTAGAGATGTTGAGCATTTTTTCATGTTTGTTGGCTATTAACTCTATCTACTTTTGAAAGGTTTATTTTCATGTCTTTTGCTTACTTTTTAATGTATTTGTTTTAAAAAATCTAATTTCAGATTTGTGGCTGTGTAAGGTTGAGGTTACAGGAAATCTGACTTCTGCATAAGCTACACATATAGCTATGTCTTCAAGTGGGCTGTTGGAGAACATCAGAGGACTCAATGATTAAATCATTTATTGAGATTTTTCTGTGGACCAAGCACAGCAGAAGTAGAGAGATGAACAGAACATTCTACCTCCCACAAAGAGACTGCAATCTAGCTGGCAAGACAGGTCCATGCACAGCTAACTCACTGAAGGATGAGTAAGCTGAGAAAATGGGAAACAGGATAGGGGAGAAAGGAAACCTCATGAGCAGAAATGTACAAGGCACACGAATGCTTGGCATCTCTGCAAATCAGTGTGGCATACTGCTCAGATTTTAGAAGAGTCCACGTGGGAAGAGGAACAGAAGATGAGGCAAGAAGGAGGGCAAGGCCAGATAGCCGAGGGCCTTAAGCATGTTGTTACAAACTTTCTGTGACCAGAAAGAAATGCTAGATAATTTTGAGCATAAAGAGTGACATGATCATACATGAGCTTCAGAAAAATTTCTCCAGCAGCAGGTATAGAAAATACACTACCACGGGACAAAAGTAGAGGCAGGAAGACGCATCAACAGAGTATAGCAACAGTCTAGTGAGAAGATAAAACTTGGACCAGGACAATGGGAGTAGAGATTGGAAAGAAGAAAAGGATTTGAGAGATCTGAAAGTAGAATTGGTAGGGCTTGCTTTGTTGACTGACTGATTATGAAGATCAGGAAAAAGGAAGAGTTAAGGATGATTCTGGCTTCAAGCTTGGGTAATGGGGTAGACATTGATACTATTAATAAGGTAGAGTAGTTAATGAAATTTATTTTAGCCTTGTTGAGTTTGACATATGATTAAGGCATCAAGGTGGAGACATCAGACATGAATTGTAATTTGGGGTTTAGGGGTCAGGAGAGAGATCTAAGCTAGAGACTTAGAGAATCATCAACATTTAGGCTAGAACTGAAGCCCTTGATGAAGAGAAGATTATCCAGGAAAAGAAGGTTTTCTCACTGATCTTACAATCTGTCTATGGTACCCAACAGAAGATAATTCCCAAACCTTAGCCTTTATGTTGGAGAATCATCTCATTTTGTTAACAGAACAGCAATATTGGTAGGTTTCTAAATAACTCTAGATTATGGTGCTGTATAGACAAAACACCAGTGAGGTTAACTGGCAGAATTTTTTACCTTTCATACTGTGATTTATAGACATAAACCTCTAGTTGAGTTCTGATTTCTGATTAAGCCCTAATAATACATACATATTTAGTGGTTGGTATTTCTGTTGCTATCAAGCCTCCCACAGGCATGAAAATGCTTTGGGGAGGAAAATGTGGCATAAGTGGCTTTTTCAATCTCTTGGAAAATGGTACTGCTACTGTTCAATGTTGGAGTAGTAAAAACATTCACAAACCAGATAAAATTTTATTGAGACTCATAATGATAAAAATGGCCCTGTAGTATTATAACCTACTATTACCCTTTTACAATGCTAATCCAAATTAAGGGTTTTATTGGGCTAATAAGAATATTAGAAGGAAAAGTTGAGCTTCCTAAATTAATATCAATATTATTGTGACAAAAATTTCCTTTATCAAAATCAGGTTTCCTGAAAATCTTTATGAAAAGGGAAACCACTTCAGAATTATGTTTATATATCTAAAGAGCTTATGGTAATTTGACTTGAATTTATATATTTTTTAAATGTAAGAAAGAAACATAATTTACTACCTTTCTACAAGACATAAAACACAATGTAGTTGTATTACCATAGCTAAATGCTAGTTTACTAATTCCAAAATAAATGCAGAAGTGGACTAGTGTTGGTTTGATTTACATTTGCCAGAGTTTAGAATTTAGTAAGTCAGTAAACAGAAGAATTTTTAAATATGCATACATTGTTTTGCTATATGTGAGAACATGTACAAAAAAGAATACCATCTAGAAATGGCTTTTCTATATTTTAGGCTAATTCTACTTAATAAAATTTAGTTTTTAATTTAATGATAAAATAGAAGAACCTGCACAACTAACAGTGGTTCTGTAATCTTCAAGTCTTAACACTGTGGAAGGATATTGTGGCTTGACAATTTTTACAAACATGAAGGACACACATTTGATTAAATGAATAAATTAACTGACATGTAGTAGGAAGAAGAATTTGAATGCAAAGGTAGTGGAAGCAGAACCCACAACCTCTTCAAAAACATAGTCAAAGAAAAAGATGAGCTTCAAAACGATTCATTACCTGAAGCTTTATTTTTAACTCATAAAAAATTTTGTTTTCCTTAGACATTTTAAATGAAAAATATCAGGAGGCAAGACATTAATAACAGCAGAGAATAAAATGAATTTCTATAAAAGGGTTTAAGCTGAGATCAAGTAAATTAAATTGTATAGGCTTGAGAGAAACAAATTTTGAGATCTGGGATTGTTAAAAGTCATTGTTTATGACTAAGTCATTTGTTTAACAACAGCATAAACTATAAAGTTGTGTTATGAGTTACACCTTCACAAAATTTCAGTGCAAAAGAGATCCTAAGAGATAATTTACTCTAACTTCCTTATCTTAGGTGAGGAAATGAGAGCTTGCTCAAGGTTACACTGCTGGTTAATGGCAGAGACATGACTTGACCTCTGAGTCAACACTTACATTTTTTTCATTATACCATATTGATTATTGGCACTCAATTACTATACTGTATACAAGTTTATGGGGGAAAAATCCCAAATTTACCTTTCAATTCCCATTTCCTGAACCATCAATGAAACCAAATCCATGACACAGCAAGAATGTTATAAAGGTATAGCTAGCTCAGCTCAGGTATGGGACCCTTTCTCCTGTCTGGTTCAGAAGGAAACAAAGCCCAGAGTCCAGTTGGACTTTTAATATCTTGAGGAGGGGGCAATTCACAGTAGTCTCAAAGTATTGATTTCTGACTCATGAGATAATTGATTTAAAATGACAATATTTTGTGCTTCTTTCATTAAAATCTAACAGATCTTCTTAGGTAGTTTAGAGGAGGGGAGAGAAGAAAGAAGGCAGAAGAGAGTGGAAACATGCTAACTGCCTTCTATCAGAGGACAAACATACTTTTAAATTCTGTAAGTTCAAAGTAAGTAATTGTTTAATATGAAATTTCATTGGAAACTTGGTCATGTTTCCAAGTAGCAAATGTTATTTGGATACAGGTTCAAAGTGATCAGGTTTGATATTCTTAATCTAGCACTGTTAGAGTTCAAAATGTTAAAGTCACCAAAAGTGAGTGTGTTGTTGAGAAATTCCCATGGTCATCAAACTGAGCTGTAAGGAAAAATGTTTTTTTAACTATTCAGCTATGACAGCCACAGTGAATAGAAAACCCCATATATGACATTTTTATAAAGGTGTCCTTTACAGTGGAATAAATGGCAAAAGGTAGAACTGCTATCTTCTTTAAGCTTCAGCTCAGTGGGAGACTAGAATTTCCCAGCTCTTATAAAAAGTTTGCTTACAAAAAATAAAACCTAAGAAATAGGTTAAAGAAATAGATTAAAGAAATACCACAAACTTCACAACAATAATAATTAGATGGATGGATGGATAGATACTTGTTCATAAGTTAAATGAAAAAGTCAAAACTACTTTTCAATAGGAGTCAACATTTTGTTTGAAAACTGATATTGTTTGGTACATGAATGACAGCTCAAATAAGCAATTCATTTTGTTAATGATAGCCCTGAATTAATCTCATTTCATCCAGAAGGTAAGATTATAGATCAATATCCAAAAAATTACATTTCTCAGTATCTCAAAAAGAAAAGCCAAGTAAAATTTATGCAAATTAATAATTCATTTACTAGCTCTTGCATAAAACAGCAGCACAAATAACTCAGAGACGTGAAAAGATGGAAAATAAGATTAAATCAATCCACTGTTTGACAGTTCAAACTTTTAATAATCAATTATTTCTGAACTCCATTTGAAGTATTGAAAGGCTGCTTATTACTGATCAGGAAGAGTTGTCAGTAAAATTAGAACTTCCTTTAAGTTTATATATCCAATCTACTATAAAAACCTAAACTATCACGGTCAAGTGATATGATGGAATTACTTTCTAAAATAATTTTGCCTTAGATCTCTAGAGGAAAACATACATTTTTATATTATTTTCCATTTTATCAAAAATAGTCCTAATTACATGACAGATTTTTTAAAAGTCTCAATCTCAAAAAATAGCAGAAATAGATACTTTTTTAAAAAATTGACTTTATTTTTTAGAACAGTTTCTCTGGGTTTAGACAAATGTATAATGACACGTGTCCACCATACAGTAGCATACAGAACAGTTTCACTGCCCTAAATGTCCCTTGTGCTCTGCCTATTCCCTCTCTCCCCTCAAACTCCTGGCAACTACTCATCTTTTTACTGTCTCTGTAGTTTTACCTTTTCCAGAATGTCATATAGTTGGAAACCATACAGTATGTAGCCTTTTCAGATTAGCTTCTTTTACTTAGTAATGTATGTCCATTTAAGGTTCCTCCATAGTTTTTTGTGGCTTAATGGCTCATTTCTTTTTTAGTGCTGAATAATATTCCACTGTCTGTATGCACCACAGTTTACCATTCACCTACTAAAGGATATTTTGTTTGCTTTTTAAAAAATGCATAAAAGTGATAACATTTCAAGGTTTAATTGATCTACAAGTTGCTGGAATAATCAGTCTGTCAAAATAAATGAGACACCACCACAATGAAGCAAATGGTCTTACATGTTAATGTTAACACATTTAGTCAAATAGTCAAGCAAGAAAATCCTGTACAAGGTTTGCTGTGTTTACAGAGAAAACAAACTCTTCCTAGCAACTGTTTAAATAAATCTTGCAGATGCTACAGACCTTATTAGTGGCCTGTGATTAAAAAAATATGGATTTCTAATACTGTATCCTGACTCATCTATTTTCCCATCTGCTAGCAATTCTAACAATATGAACTATCAACAGAATGGCTAACAGCAATAATTTTCTATGGCAATTTTGATGCTGAATTGCCTATAGCATTTTGTAAGATTTACCAGTGCATGTCTCAGACTGTTTTGAGTTGTTTGTGGCCTGGAGTAATATACTCCTTTTTCTCTTAATACTCCATTTTAGCTAAAATTTTTACTATGTTGAACAGAATCTGGTTTGGTTTTAGAAAACACTGTTCATGGAGGCTGACACACTCATTTTATCAACAGTGAGAATGGGAAACACACCAAAGTACTAGCAAAAATCCAGTCAAGTCCACTGATTAGTACACATATATAAACAGGTAAGGGGCGTTCTGTCAGTAAGACTGAGCAACAGGGATAATAACAGTACTTAAAGTTAAACAAAATTAAGACATTATCAAGGCATTTTCCTGATTTAATTTCTGGCACTGAGAAGAATACAATAAAGGAGCTTTCAAGTTGATCCAAACTACTATGAAGTCTGTTTAAAGAACACTTTACATGTACATTTTAAATATGCATTAAGAAAAATAATTAAGATTGTGATAATTTCAGGCACTTGACACTCATACTATAGAAAAAAGGCAAATTCCTCACTGTAAATCCCTTATAAAATGTGATCTTAAAAGGTGCATTAACATCAAATCTGCTGGCAGACTCCTCTTCCCCAAATAGACATTATTTACCCTATTCTGTGCTGAGTGGTCCAGGTCTTTGGCTGAATGAATGACTGTAAATATTTTGGGATTATAACAGGAAACTACCATACAACATTTGTTTTGGCTGTTTAACCTCAGCACATTTAGGAGAAACTTAAGACTTTATATTTCCATTCCTAAAGAAAAGGGAGAAAACTGTTTCTTGTGGATATCAACAAAGGAGAAGGGGAA